GCCAGACCACCCAGTGAGTGCTCCCAGGGACTAGACCACCAACCAAGGAGTGTACAGGGAGAGATCCATGGCTCCAGATACATACGTAGCAGAAGATGGCCTTGTCTGACATCAATGGGAGGGGACACCCTTGGTCGTGTGGAGGTTTGATGCCCCAGCATAGGGGGCCGCTGAAGCGGTGGGACGGAGTGGGTGGTTGGGGGATTACCTTCATAGAGAGAAATTGGAGAGGCAGAGGATGGATGGGATGGGGGGTTGTGGAAGGTAACCAGGAAGGGAGAAGAAAAAGAAATATTCCTAGTGTCCCAATAAGCATTTAACTGCTGTAATCTCATTGGATCCTCTTACTTTGCTCTATTCACCATCTATTTCAACTTTGTGAAGGAACTGCTTAGCAGGGCTAAAGAGTCTACCCATGACCTCAGGGTCAGGTAGCAGAAGCCCTAACATCTAAACAAAGAATATGTTCATGACCTTCACATTTCGATAGTTCAAAGGTGAGCTTCTCCTTCCCCATGGCATTCCAGCAGTGGCTGAGAGCACTATGTACTTAAGAGTTTTGTTTGGGAGTCCAGTTAGAGTTAGGAGGCAAAGAAGTGTTCACACAATCATTCAAAATCACATTCTTCTTGTTTTAAAGAGTGAGACAAATAAAAACCAACCAAGCAGATGAAAACACTCTGTAAGTGACTTTTTAGAATTTTTGCTTCCAGTTCATTGAGTAGACAAAATGTTCCTAGCATGTTAAAAATATAAAGCATAAAGAAGTTTATTTTAATCAGTTCATGCCTTGCAATGATTCAAAAGTGAATCTAGAGATCAAGTCAAGTTCAAGATTTTTCTGCTTTCCCTAAAACCCAGAACAATGAACACTATTATCTAGCTTGGGTGAGACAGTTTCAGAATAATTTATTATTATTCATCCATTATATAAGAAATAATTATATTTGGCATGGCAAGCAATGTTAAAGAGCTCTGTGTTTGTGAAGCATTTTGCCTCTTCAAATAAACTGAAGGCAAATTATAAAGGAGAGGAGCTTTTCCGTGTACCTCTGTCCCACATTTATCTATTATGCAATTTAAACTTCAGTGAAAGTAACAAAGCATCCAGGGAAAAATCCTTTGAAAACGTGGTTGATCAACTTTTCATCTAGAATATATGTACTGACTATAACTGTTGACCAATTGTACTGCTAGACCCACATTTTGAAATGTCCAGCAACAATCTTAATTTTTTATCATTTGAAATAACTAATGATACAGTTTCCAGAGTTGTATAATTTTACAGTTTCCTTATAAAGGATTTTAGACTCCATAAATGTCAGTAGTTGATGGGAACTGGGGAAGAATGAGTTGCTTGCAGAAGTGCCAGCAAGATGTTATGATAACACACACATTCCTAGAGTCTAGAAACGTTAGCAAAGAGGCAAGAGTGGAGTGATTGCACATTATGTTCTGGTGTTAATGCTTGGCTGGCAAAGGGAATCATATGGGAATTGGTTGCTCTAAGGGAAAAGGAATTGTATTGACGCATAAAGAACTCTGAGGAATAACAGTTGCCCAAGTATAGCCCCAGTGTTCCTCAAGCCTAGTGAACAGAAGTATTAGAAGCCAATTTTAGACCCAGGAACCACAGTTATGCATTTGTGCTCTTGGCAGTCACTACAAAATATGTCAATTACTGAGGACTAGAGAAATCACCCAATCATTCAATATGTTGGGCTCTTCTGTGAAGGTTCGCTTTTGTTTGTTTGTTTGTTTGTTTGTTTATTAAAACACTTGGAAATAATGAAAAAAAATTACAGATTTAGAAATCTGATAATAATGTCCCTCATAACAGTGTTTTTGGATATGTCTCACTTAAATTCTATATTATGAAAGACCAGATTCACTCAAAGAAAGGCCATGAGGTCAGAGGTTCTTATTTTTTTTTAAATATTTTAACTGTTTTACGTAATTGGTATAAATCTAGTACCAACAGTACTTGGCACCTACTACATTCTGGAAAACAACTTTTAGATGAATGAAGAAATGATCAAGCTAGTTATACACTGACTACTGTAAGATAAATATCTCTTTTAGGAAACGTCCTGGTCTCTACATCTCTACACTGGATCCATCTTTATTTTCCTTTATGGAATTTTGCTCAAGCTGTTTATTTTCTTTCATATTTTACTTAATTTAAAATGTTTTTCATATAATATATGTTGATTATATTGTTCCCTTTCCCTACCTCTTCCCAGTTCTTCACCACCACCCTACCCAATCAATTTCATTCTCTCTCTCTCTCTCTCTCTCTCTCTCTCTCTCTCTCTCTCTCTCTCTCTCTCTCTCTCTCTGTCTCTCTCAGAAAGACAAAAGCAAGGAAACAAACAAATAAAACTAATAAGACAAAAGATTCTGAAACAAAACAAAGGGTAACATAAAAACATGGAATTTATTTTGCGTTGGCCCCCTGGGCTTGGGGACTGGCCTAAAGTGTGGTTGATATATTAGTGACTCTCCATTGAAGAAAACTGAGTTCCCTTAGTTAGTAGCTATCAACTGCAAATAGCTTCTTGGTTAGGAATCAGACCCCATATCCAGTTCCTCCTCTTAATACTGGGACCCCATCTGGCTTGAACTTCTGCATATCCAAAGCAAGCTGTCGAAGCCTCTGTGAGTTCACCAATCCTACTGTGTCTGGAAGGTTTCCTTGGAGTCATCTACTACCTCTGGCTCTTACAATCCTTCTGGTCTCTCTTCCCTGAGCTATGAGGGTAGGGTTTTGATGAAGACATTCCATTTATCAGTGAGAGTTCCAAAGTCTCTCACACTCTGTGCATTGTCCAGTTATGAGTCTTTGTGTATTCCTACCTAAATGTATCTCAGTGACATAGCCCTGGGCTTAGTTTCAAGCATAGACAATAAATGAATGAATGGATGAATTAATTAATTAATTAATTAATAATATATACTAGATAAATATGAAGTAGTGTGTAAATAGTAATATTATTTCTGGAAGTGTTGGTACATGTCTCTAATCCCAGAACTCAAGAAACTGAGGCAGAAAGATGGGGAGTTTCAGGCTTGTTTTGCCCGCAAAGGAAGATGTTGCAAAACCAAACAAATTAAAGAACATTTTCAGGTTATTTGACTCAAAACTTTTTTGTACCCTGCCACCTACCATCCCCAACCCTTGACCTAAACATTTTGCTCTGATTTTCCTGTAATTTGCTCACACTGGGGGCACTGATATGAGTGGAAAGTATAAGGGGCCTAAATATTTAATGGCAGAAGGGAGATAAGTTCTCTCCTCAGGCATAGGGGCACCTCACCTTGCCCACATACTTGCCCGACAAAGACAAAAGCAATGCAGGATGAAGCATGAAACCTTTGCTTTCTACTCTCCTCTTGTTCTCTCCTAGCAATACTCATTGGTGCCTTTAACTACCAAAGCTTTTTGGGATATTTAGGACTTAGATTTGAGACAAAAAAACCTTTATCTCTGAAGAACATATCATCAATATAGGTGTAACCTCCATCACATTTCTTGACTCCCTAAGCTATTCAACATATATTTAAAATATATACCTAAATTATCAATGTAGGTGTAACCTCCTCCAGCACATTCCTTGGCTCCCTGAGCATCCAAGTCACCCTGTCTTACAATGTATATATACCTTGTGACTCGGAGCACCTGTGTTAGGGCTCTCTAGAGTCAGACTCGATAGAATATGTCTACAGTTACATGAGTGGGAACATTAAGGGAATTGGTACATGTGATTGTTGTGTCTGATAAGTTACACAATAGAATTTTAGCAATCTAGAGACCCAGGGATAACAGCAATGTAGCTCAGTTCAAATCCAAGTCTCTTGATACAGAAAACTCATGGCTGTATCTTTTGGTGTGAGGCCAAGAACCCAGGACTAAGATCTGGCTAAGATCCAGAGTCCCAAGGCTGAGCAGCCTTGAGTTCTAATGTCCACGACTGCAGAAAATGTGTCCATCTCATGTCCTTTCAGAATCACATGCTCATTTCCTCCAGGAACATGCTAACAGGCAAATCCAAAATGATGCTTTACCAAGTTTTTAGGTATTCCATTATCCAGTGAAGTTGAGATATATATATATATATATATATATATATATATATATATATATATGAACAGCATCAAACGATATGGAAATTTTCAGTGCATCGCTCATTCACCCACTCAGATGGGTGCTGCTAGAGAGACCACACCTTATTCCTTTGTATGATTCTCAGCAATAGCAGCCCAGTTCCTGTGGTGCAGTGGTGCTCAAGGGTATTCTCTGCATGCCCTGTTCCTTCTCTAAGCTTCTTCTGCATGGCTGGATAGTGAAGATGGAATTTTGATGCTAGAAATAAGCCTCCTTTTATACATTAGCAGGCACTATTTGAAAGCAACCCTTTCACAGAAGATAACAGTTATTTTTTTGCTTTTGGTTTTTTTTCTTTGTTTTGTTTTGATTTTGTTTCTGTTTTTCCACTGAGAAACTCTTTTCTACAACCTCAGGACACAGCTCAGTCACTTAGTTCCACGTTAAAGGAATTCAAACAGAACTATCTTAAGCCAAATGAAAAATGTATTATGGAAATGCTAACATGTTTAATGAAATGCGTATACAGAATGATGTGTGTGTGTGTGAATACAATTGCTTTAATAAATTTGTAGAAACCGTTTATTGAAGCATTAGAGATATTCTACTTGGCTCATGTGTTTTCTTTTATAATGAAGCATTTGGAAGCATGGAGACACCCATGTGATTGTCTGCTCAGCATTTTGACTCTTTTGTTGAACTCTACTTCCAGACGTATTTGGTTGGTCAGTTGAAGTACTTCCTGGGGAATTAGAAACTTGAATTCAATTTTCCTTGGTTTGATGAGTATAAAATCAATGTCTAGTTTTAATGTCTATTTAAAAGTTGTTGACATCAGTTCATACCTATACAGTGCTTTCAGAAGCCATATGGTTTAAGGTACCATTAAGAGAGTATAATATATATACCAGTAGAACATTCCCAAGGAAAAATATGGCTGCTTTGTTTAAAAATAAATTTATTTTATTTCATTATAACCTTGACAGTCTATATAAACAACATAGTATATGCAAAAACAATTACAAAATACACTTTGAACAAAACATGAAAGTTCATGAAATTCTTTCATGATATCAAGAGACATCATTAAATGTTTCAGATAAAAAATGAGGAGTTTCCCAACATTGACTGCTTTGGTCAGTCAACCAGGGACCAGGAAGCAGAGACACTTAACAGGACTGGTGGTATTTTTAATGTTCTAGTAGCCATTTAATCCAAACCTGTTTAGCATTAAAGAAGAATGGAGAGAAAACTTACACACGAGCCCAAGGAGACTAAATACAACATGCATCTGAGTCAGATATGGGTAGCCTTTTTTTTTTTTCAAGAATGGACATTAAGTCACAAGGGAGAAAAACCATTTTGAAACTTGTCAGTTCTTAGACTTAGTGAAACTGGCAAGTAATCTTCATTACTAAAATCCCAGCATACTTACAAACACTGTGCTAAAAGAACATAGGGAATGTAGGGTTTTGTTTGAATCTGGAATCTCTCTTGTAAAGTAAAATTTACAGGGATCCCAACAGGCAGGAAAGCAGCACTGTCTGAGGACATCTTCCCATTGGCTCTGTAAGTGACCTACCTAATCAATGTGGAAATTTCCATGTTCTATAGAATACTGGTTAAATATAAATTTTATTTTATTTTTATGGTTAATATAGTTTCTACTAAATGTAACATGTAGTCAAAGGAACACAATAGTGGCAAAATGGTTCAATTCATAAATGCTATGGTCAAGATGTTTGTTATGGCATCAAAATTCACCTGAGAGCAATTATACATACATTGGACTTGAGGCTATGGTCACATATGTTCCGCTGTGACATCACCAATACTAACAGTCTCTTCCTGTGCTGTTTATACTTTACTGAGCATAAACACCCATGCACAGGCTAACGAACACCAGCCATTTACTTTTGCTGTTTGTTTTGGTGATCTAAGAATTTTCTCATGTCACTGAGACTTTATGAAAAAGCAAGATAATAAATAATCATGAAGTCAATCCTGCAGAAGTCATGATGCCGACATCAGCTCTGGTCAGGACTCCGTATTCTGTGTCAACACAGGAAAATCAGTCTACCATCTCAGAATCATAGCAAAACATAGTTCAAATGGAAATCTCGGATTCCACTATTGAGTTAGATCTCAGGTACTCAAACTAACAAAAATGATAAAAGCATCATCTTTGAATCTGGTCCATGTCAGTTTTGGCTCTCTCAATATCTCTAAATCTAAGTGAAATTATTTCTTATAATAATTATTGCATATATAGGAATGAGGACCAAAAAATATGTAATCTCACAGACTACTGAAATGATAAAATGAAATAATATATTTTAAGCTCCTAGAGTATGGTAAGTGTATAAACTCAGGGAGCCCTATTATTGACTCGGGCTCTTTGTTTGGTTGGTTGGTTGGTTTTGTTTTGTGAGACAGCATTTCTCTATATAACCCTGACTATTCTGGAACTGCTTTGTAGACCAGGCTGGCCTCAGAAATCCACCTGCCTCTGCCTCCCAAGTGCTGGGATTAAAGGCGTGTGCCACCACTGCCTGATGGTGACTCAGTTCTTAAAATCTAACTCCTTTCCTACTTTTATTTGTTTAATAATCCTGGCAACAAAGTTTATATTCAAATGTCCCTTATTGTTGTTACCTAACCAGCTCATTTGCTCTCAACTATTAGACTGTAATAAAAATATCATTATTAAAAACAATAACAAGCAACACACAGTTACAAATAAAAATAAAAAATGTAAATAGAATATTTAAACATTCATTTCTGACAGCTGTTTTCCTGAGACATGTCCTGTCCATCTGCAAAATGTGTCAGGTCTTTTGTAGTTTGCTACCAGCTTGTGGTAACTTTATAACCTGTAAGAATGAAGAAAACAAGGGCAGCAACTTTAGAAAAAAGCACTATACCGTACAACACTAGCTAATCCAGAGTCGGTTTTCGTGTTTCATTAGGGTTGCCTTTGTAAGAAATGATAAGAACACTGTAATTCCTCAGCAAGTGTTACTAGCCACTATTGGCTACTGAGATGCTTGCAGAAAGGAGAGTCACTGTACCCAGAGAGAGTTATGGAAAGCGACTGCTATCTCATGCTGAGGCTGAACAAGGAAACACTAGGCTTGATTGCTCCCAGCCTCTCTAACCTAGAGGAACTGGCCAGGAATTTAGCCAACGCTGCGAAAAGTTAGCAGAAAGAGAGAAATTGTATTTCCTTAAACACGAGTCTCAGTGCCTTGAACTGTAACAGCACACTCCGTGTGGGTCCACACGCTACTTTATTTTTAACACAGTCTTAGTTGGATTTCATGTTGTTATAACCCAAATCATCCCACTTGATTCTGCAGTTTGGGCTCTGTGTGCCCCTGGCAGATTTTCCAAGGGGCCTCTGCTACTGATTACGCGGCTGGGGCTCTGCTTTACTGTGACTTGTTTAGTGGTGCAGCTACACAGTGCCAAGAATGTGCTGAAGATTCAAAGCAGGGGCATTTCGAGCATTTTTTTTTTCCATTGCTTAGGTTTCAGCAGTGGCTCTGCTTCCGCCTAGCAGGGTACCAGCTAACCCTAGTCATGACCCCACCGGCTACAGGATATTCGATGACTTTTTGCTGCTGCCAAAATCAAGTGGCACTGGGAGACTGACCTAGCAGTGTTCTCTCATCAGAATCTCTGCATTGAATTAGCTGAAAGGAAGGATCTGTGACTCCTGCTGGGATCCCAACTCACAAACACTTCAAGAGTTGGGAAATGTGCTCTATGTAGGTACGTTCACCAACATCACCATCACCGCCATCATCATCGTCATCATCGTCATCATCATCATCGTCATTACCATCACCAATAACACTATCATCATCACCAGTGTCATCATCGTCAATAGCAATACAATCACCAACACCAACATCATCACTATCATCATCATCACATTGCTATTGTATTTCCTCTCTTGGTTTGATATGTTTAAATTAAAATACTTCTTTTATTCAAAAGGGTGGAAGAAAAAAAACATACGAAATAACCATGACAATTACGTAGCATTAGAATGCCTACTTCTGTGGTAGTACATTTGAGATAAGGAAAAGAATGGAACTGACCTTTAAACATAAAATTAAAATTAATTATTTCAGCATGTTCAAACAAAAAACTTGTTTCTATTTTTCTGTGTTATTACATCATGATACAGTTAGAGCAAATCTTTGAGGTTTTGTCATAAAGAAAATAAATTTATCTTTGGATGTTTGTATACACAACCGAATTCTAATCAGTAATTATTAGACATAATTAAGCCCCAACTCACTACTTACAGTCAGTCCCTAGCTTTCCTCTACTATGTTTAGCACACTTACCGTTAAGCAATATTGGTCTCTTGAATTTCTTCACTTATGGGAGTTTTATCTTTATCCAAAGTTTCCATTTTCTCTTCCTTCTTTTTTTTACGATGTTTCCGAAGAGGACTTGAAAAATAACATGTTAGGAATTAGTCTGAGTATGTGAGCTCACGTCAGTGTGCAAATATTCAATAAGAGAGCCCAGGGCCTTAATTCTATGCTGTTGAAGATTAGTAAGCTCCACTTTTGTTTTAAGTCCACTGGCTTCTTTTGACATATTCCTTTTTGTACGTTCAAGTGTTAGCTGCAGTAGGCCCACAGCCTTGGTGACAAGTATTTATATACACAGGAAGAATCTGGTTCCTGATTATGGATAGAGATTAGAGGGCAGAAGAAAAATTGTCATTCAAAGTTATTTCACAGTGCAGAACAATTAGCACTACTTGGTGTTAAGGAGAAGCAGCAAGGTCTGGAGCCAGGCATGGAAACTGGAAAAGTGTCCGTAACCCCTGGAAATATTACTAAACTTCTAGGCATGTAAGTGAAGAAATTGGTTTAATATTCTGGGATGCACTCTAGTTTTTTGAACATGTGATTCAAGGTTAATAAAAAATGGTCATTTCCCAGCTGTGTTCAACATATCCTCCGGCCTAAATGTAAAATTAAAAATAGCTCTTTCTACCATAAAGTATAAAAACTCAAAACTATTTTTCAATTAAATGGCTAGGATTCCTCTAAATTATCTAGTTCTTCAGTACCTGTGTTTTACAGAAAATACAATCCAAGCTCAGGGACATTTAGAAATTTCTTCAAAATCTCAAAAATATCTAACTGTGGAGCTGATCAAAATTAGTTTATGTTTTTGGTTTTGGGGTTTTTTGTTTGTTTGTTTGTCTGTGTTTCTTTGTTTTATTCCAAGAACACTATAAAGGAATAAAGTGACATCCCCTTTCGGCACAGCCTGGAGCCCAGAGGAGGATGCCATGGTTTAGGAAGGGATGGATGCTCCTCAAGGCAACAAAATATTAAACTTAATGATAGGTTTTCAAAGAAACTGCTCACATATTAATAATTTTTCTAACCCACTGTCCCTCAAAGTAAAAAGAAAAGTATCTCTGAATTCCAAATGCATAATGAAAACTCATGAAAATTAAAACAGAAGAAGTTGTCCACTCATATAAAATTATTATTTAATAATAATATTATTATTTTAATATGGTCAAAAAAAGATTTTGGTTTCTTCTTATTCTTCAACATCACTACGTAATGAAACAGTTTGGGATAATGATAATTCAATTTAACTTACTAACAAACACAAACTACACCTGCCTTTGGTGCTAAATGGCTGAAAGGTTTAGTCGAAAGATATCTACAAATTTTATTTTAACTTATAATGCTTATTTCCTGTAGATTGATTAAAAACTATCTACACTGTGTTTTATTATTAATAAAAATTTTATGCCTACAAACACAAGCCTCAGAAAGTTGATTTGTTTAAAGTAAAGCAAAAATGAAGGGGTAGTAGGAAAAAGAAGAGGAAGAAGAGAAGAAAAGAGAAGATGAGAAAAGTAAGATAAAATTTCTCATACTTAAACGTCAGTGTAGACACACTTACTGGCAGCAGGTGCAGACGCTGATTACTAAAATGATGAACACCACCATGACCACTATCAAGCATACCACCAGGATCTGCCCCCTGTCCTGCTGGAGGTAAAACAGGTCCACTTGCTCACACCGTGCCCCGAAGTAGCCTTTCTCGCAGCTGCTCAGGAAAAAGATTTTTATGAGTCTCCAGTTCTCTTTGGAAGAAATTAGCACTGTTTTCATTCCTTAGTAAAGACCATGGTTTCTTTTAAAAAAGGAAAAAAATTAGGCCCATGCTCCTCTGCTGTCTTCAGGAGCAACTGTACCTGGCTTCACTGAAACTCACCATCACTAGAATGTTATTAACTGGTCTAGTAGGGACAGTCATGGACACCTATTAAAAAATTTTACAGTTTTGATCTTTCAGATTGTGCAGAAGAAGATGTTAAAATTCCCTCCACAGCATTTTCAATTCATAAAAACCTCGTGACAAAGAAGACAAAGCTGCACAAACACTCGTATCATTGTAGGCTAAGACAAACACTTCACTGCATCAATGTGCTACTTTAAAACAACATGATTTCTTATAGCCAGCAGTGGTGGTCCAGACCTTTGATCCCAGCACTGGGGAGGCAAAGGCAGATAGATCTCTGTGAGTTCAAAGCTAGTCTGATCTGCAGAGCTAGCTCCAGGACAGCCAGAGCTACACACACACACACACACACACACACACACACACACACACACACCCTGGGTTTTAACTCTATGACTGGGGAGACTACATGTCAGGAAGCAAGCTTCTGCTGCTCATGCATCCTCACTTCACAGATATATCACAAGTCCTGTGATAGTCTGTTAGTTGGGTGAGTGTGGCTACATTTACAGGTGTGCTCACCACTGCCTTGAATCCACAGCCCCTATTAAAGAAAAGCAATCAGAATTGAGGATTTCAGTGGAGCTATGGATTCCCTCAGTCCCTCACATCTCTATCAATATAAGTTCAAGATACACTTTAGCTCAGAAGATTCCCTAAGCCTGTAATTGCTGTTAGGAAAACTTTTGACCAAGCTGGGAATTATCGATGCAAAGCTCCTGATCTAATGACTCAGTGATCTATGACACTAAATAAAATTCATGAATTGCTATAGAACCTTAAAAGATACATAAAAAATTGAGTGCGTTTGAATCAAATTTATCTCTTGCAACACCAGCATCTTTGCATTAATATTTACCCTTATTCTCTACAGATATACCCAAACTCTATGAGATATTGACCATATGCACAGTTGTTTAAACATCAAAACAGATCAAATCCTGCACCTTGAGAAGATTTCTGTGCAACCTCATTTATTTATAAACCTCAGGATTTATTGCCAAGCTGTTCTATGGCTGGTGCGTCACAAGAGCCAAGGCAGTTAATTCCCACAGAGCCAGTACTGCTTCAGTAAGAAGATCCTAACTGCCAACGCTGTAGCTGACAAAATGTTTCAAAAGCCAACAGGAACCAACAGAAGCAATCTCGAGGAAAATATGAACTGTTATTCAGAGAACAGAGAAGCACACCATGACACCTAAGGATGCAGAAGAGGATCTCTGGACAGGTGGGGGAGAACTGTTTCATTTGAGATGAACAGATGCCAACATTTTAAGTCAAAACACAGTCAAAGGAGCTGGAGTGATTGTTCAGTGGTTAGGAGCACCTGCTACTCTTCCAGAGGACCCAGGTTCAATTCCCAGTACCCACATGGAAGATCACAGCTATTTGTAATTCCAATTCCAGTTCCAGATGATCCAATGCCTTCCTCTGGCCTCCAAGGGCTTCTGTGTACATGTGGTGCACATAGATACACTGAGGTGCACAGACACAGAAAATAAGTAGATATTTAATTAAAAAAACACAGGTTGAAAATTTAGAACTTAAAATATCAAAAATGTGAGGTGAGGGGTGGGCAAAAAATATCAAAAATACTTTTAAAATTAAGGATTGTAGAAAATCAGCTTTAATTGAATGTGGGAGGGAAGGTTGTTAAGCATCTATAAAGAATATAATCAAGTCTTAATGATTTAATGATTTCTTTAACAAGCCTGCTACATCTGACTCTTTAAAACATTAGAGTTTTGCCCATAAATGGCCAGCCATTACATACTGCTCTTTAGGAATTTTGTCTAACTATGAACTCTGGGTTCGGCAGCTTTAACGAAATGTCTCAGCAAGCAGAACTTTCTGTAGGTTGTAACCTCATGACATCATGCTAGGTTGTAACCTCATGACATCATGCTAGGTTGTAACCTCATGACATCACGCTAGAAGTCAAACTTGAACATGTCTACAGCACCTCTCCAGGCATTTCACCGTGCAACAGACCAGTTGCACATTAACTGGTCGTTATTTTGACCTGATGATTGTCTTCACTGTGAGTCTCCCATGAGGAAGGCAAGAGAGAGGGAGAGCTGAAGCCTGAGTCATCTTATATCACCAGCAGGGAAAAGCTCTCTAAGGTAACAGAGGAATTTGTGTACCAAACCCTGAGAAAGGACACAGGATTCTACAGGGCACCTGAAAACACTGTGAAAAATAGGCCGAGAAAGTTAATCCAGAATCAGAGGAGTTTTGGAGGCTAAGGAAATAGTTATTAACCTACTGTGGAATGAGGAAAGTTGAGAATTGATCTTAGGCAGGGAGATTACACAATCTGGTTTTCATCTCAGTAGACTGCACAGTTAAAGAATCTGTAGACCTGGGAACCAGTCAGAAAAAAAAAAAGTATATACTGGGTCAAGGGGCATTCATCTTTTTAAAATTCAGTATATGTCTCTTAGCCAGCAAAAGAACTAAATGAAAAATTTAAAAATCAGGTCCACACACACACACACACACACACACACACTTTTTTTTTTACACCAGCAATTCTTATTCCACCTCTATTATCTGTGCATATTTCTTTTTAGAATTGAATTAACTTAGAATTTGAGGAAGCCCGAGTATAATGTTCAGGCGAAATTGTGAATTTTATTTTTATGCTTGTGAGATACTTATGGGGAATTATATATTAGGGGAGCTGTGCAGAAGAACATACATATTCTGTGAACTTGAGGTTAAAATTATGCTTAAAGAATCACTTGATCCCTTTGTGAAGCAAAATCCTAGAATGCTCTCTAAAGGGGCATCCCATTAAGAGAAAATGAATATTAATAATACACAAAAAAAGTTGGAACTTGGACTCTTGATCTAAGACTTGAAAAGTCAAGTCCTAGCCTCACTTACTCCCGAGTGGGCTAAATAGGCCTTTATGATCTCTACTTAGAACTAGGTCTGACTTCCTCACATTTTACTGACACCTGCGAACAAAAAACAGCATCTAATTTGACAGGAGTCTCTTTGTATTTACGTTAACTACAGAACCGGCTCACACATGCTAAAGAATCTGTTTTCATTTGAAACACCCCGGAGATGATTGGAACTGTCGGGCATCCTAACACGGTTAGAATCACCTTTTCTTGCTCAAGGGAGCTGGGGACACCAGAAGTGCAGAATTGGACCTGGATTCTTATACTCAGATTTCAGAAGGAAACTGCGTCAGTTTCTCCACAAGTAGACTCTGAGCTGGGCCCTAAAATACTGGCTGAAGGCAGGACCCGACAGGACTGTGTCCGGACAGATGGGAGGGTTAGCTCAGACTTTCCAATGCTGTCAAACCCCAGGCTGGGAGTATGCTGCACCCCTTCGCTCATGAGCACGGGGCCTTACACTTACATGCAGGAGGGAGTTTGCTCGTCCACCACGAAGCGGCATCTCCCATGGATGCAGTAATGCTTGTACTGCTTGGGGCACCGGGAGAAGTGAGTTTTCAATTTCTGTCTTGGAGTGGTTCCTGGAGAAGGAAACAGCAGTATTAAAATACTAACTCCCTGTTTTATTCGTTGGTTCACAACTAATATAGATCAAATGTTGGGAAAAAAGCCACAAGCCAGCTCCCACCCAAAGCTAAACTTCCATGCTCGTGGCATAAACTAACACTTTGCAGGATCTAGACACTGGAGAGCAGAGGAAGCAGAAAGACATATAGCAGTCGCTGCAGAGGCCCATTTCCTACATGCCAATGATATTAAGTCATGATCCAGTTAATAGCAATACCCACTGAACTTCTTTATACTATCATAACACATAGCAACTCTGTGGGGCAGACAGAAGAATCCGGAAGACTTTTTGGTAGCCAATATAAAGATTTCCATGACACCAAGATGTCATACAGATTTCTCAGGGTCCATGGGAGATTGCTTCCAGGCCCTTAGGGAGTTCCTTAACTCAATGAAATCTAAACTTACACACATCCTCTCTATACTTTAAGTCATCTCTAAATTACTTACTGTACCTGGTGCAATATGAATATCAAATAAGCTGTTGCACTGTATGGTTAGTAAATACTAGCCTGCTAATCTCTAGGACAGGTTTGAGCCACAGTTGGATGAATGCATCTGTGCAGAGCTCACAGGCTCTGAGGGCTACTCCAAAATTTCAGCGGATGCCAGATTCCTGCTGAGTTTGCTGGCTGACCTGGTTTTCATCCTTGAATCACTTGACTCCCAGGCTGAATGCTTGTGCATGCCAGATATTCTGCTCTCATGCACACCAGTTAGAAGGACTCATCAGAAAAGACTGTAATTCTAGAAATAACTGCACAGCGTGTCAAAGCGAGAACCTGTGCATTCTGCCAAACCACTTGATAAGTCGGCTCCCACCTGCTGAGCGTTTTCTAATCCTTTAACTGTGGGTTCTGAGGCATCAGTGAACAAAGTACCCTCTATCCATTTCCTGTGGCGCAATTGCACAAATCAAAGGTAAGGAACAGCCAGGAAAACATCTATAGTAACCATAAAAACAATTGCAGGGCACTGGGGGGAAAAATGGAAAGGACCCTGAATCAGGTGCAAGGATCGGCGTGTAAGTCTGAGCTGTACCCTTCAGTAGCTGAGTCCACATAGCCTTATTAAGCTGACAGAGCCTTGGTTTCCTCATCTATAAAGTGAAGATGATAAGATTCACTTTAATGGGATGTTGAGAGGTATAAACAAAGACGTGAAAATCCCCTTTTAAAAAAAAACATGTGAACATGAGTGAGAACAGGGAGACAAATGTAATGAAGTGAGAGGGTCTTGTCAGGAGCAGCAAAAGATGCAAGGGATGGAGTTAGAGACTGTCTCAGCAGACTGTAGTGACACATGGAGCAAGAGAGACTAGATGGTGGTTTATCCCAATGAAGCTACATGTATGGTACCCGTAACACTGCACTGGGAAGCATTATTTGTACCATCAGGCAAGGCACTGTAGACCACACTAGCATAAAGAGATGCTGGGCACTAGGAGAGCACCAAGGAATACTAGGGCATGCAGAAAAGTGTGATGTGAGCCTGGACCAGGGAATGGAAAGGAAGGAGCTAACTTGAAGATGTAAGCAAGAGCCTCAAGGCAGATCCTTGCTCTAGGGGATCCTTCTTGATTTGCAAAGCACCCTTGCCTTTAAATCTAAGGCATGAGGCTGTGTATCCAAAACTTCACTAATTCCTCTTGTTGCTGGGTTCCTTTATACACACCTGGACTTTCAATAAACACCACGTAGACTATCATTCTAAAAGACAAATTAACCAGCAGTTGCTGGATGCAATGATCTAAACAGTCTCTGCCCATGCGAGCAATATAAATACATGCCAAGCAAGCAGTTGCCAGGACTGTTTTGATCGCTCAGCTGGCCTTTGCTGGAGAAGCATGCTTTTTAGGATTCCTGGCGTCATTTGGATTTAAAACCCGTTCCAAGCCACCAGGCAGCAAAAGTCTGGTGATTTCTCTATGAAATTTTCAGAGCTGAATCAGAAATAAATCACACATCCTGATATTTAATTGCAAATGAACAAAATTCTGTCTTGTGTCTTGCAATATCTTTGAAATGAGAAAATCTGTTGTCATTCTCTCTGCAAATGGCATCTAGAGGAACAGTTACTTCTCATCCAGCATCTGCCTTGGTCACGTTGTCTGAAAATGAATTGGGAAGCCGTATTCTATCAAGAGACCAGGGTGAGAGAGGCCAGGGGAGACCATTCCACTCTTCAGGTACACAAATATTTATCAAGAAGTTCAAGGACAAAATTACCATTCCTATGACAAAACTACCCTCAGTCCCAACTCTTGTGTTTCTCTCTTGAAAACTGAATGGCATACCCTTAAAAACGGAACAAGGTAATGTCCATGATTTCAGAGGGGAGTGAGTTTAATTGGGCTTCTTCCACTCACCTTAACCTGGTTCAATGCACTTTATCCTACTGAAATATTCCCTTGAAGATATGGTGGTATTTTAGAATTTCACAGAGCAATTACACTGTCAGATAGCCAGGGCACAAGCATAACCTCAAACTTGGAGGGCTGCTTCAGATGCTGAATCTCAGTCTCCTGTGGGACACTGGCTTCCCAAGATTCAGAGGTCCATTGAGTCAGAAACAAAGTTATGACAGATGAGTGTATGCAAAGTTTTGGTTTAAGAGTTTGGAGTCAGGATCAGAAACTAAGACACCTTGCTTGGCTCATATGGACCATTCTATGAGAAGCATTTGCTCTCATTGGGTCAGATTCCTAGTTAGATTAGACATGACAGATTCCCATGGGCTAAGGCATTGGAGAGAAATCCAGAAGACAATAATAATATTATCTAATAATAGATAATTTAGCTCTGATATGGAATTTTCCTGGGTCTGACACATTTACAATATTAGTATGTAATTATTGCATAGCAGAGTTTTTGTAACATTTTTTTCCATTCCAATAGAGCTTGTTACAAGTGTATTTGATAATTACGTAAGTGGTATGTTACCAGTAACTCTCTTTGGCAGGTAACTATCTATAAGGGTGACATACTATAATTATCATGACATTTAAACATTTTGTTATATTAATTATTTAATTGACTTGCATGTGTGCATGCATGTGTGCATGAATGTATGACTGTGGATGACAAAGGACCACTTGAAGCAGTTGTCTCCTTCTACCCTGAGGGTTTTAGGAATCAAACTTGGGTCCTCAGACTTGGGCAGCAAGTGCATTTACCAACTGAGCCATCCCATCAGCCCAGCAATACTTTTTGTAATACTTACTGTGGTGACTATTAGTCTACATTATGACTAGCCCCTTAGTTACATATGTAATAGAACTAACTACAGGAAGGATGCTAAATATTGAAATAGAAGTCTTATGGAATAAAGAAAGAGAAAGAGAGGAGGAAGACAATGACTACAAATTTGTCCTTGCACATGCATATCTGACCTGTAAAATGAAGAAGCATGCCCAGAAGAGGGCATACAAAGTCCCCACAGAGCTGGGGGCTAAGGTTCCTTCTAGCCTATGAAACTTGTCAAAGGCTTTAATAATACTTCTAAGCTTTTGGGCCTCTTCCCAGCAGAGGTTTCCTCATTTTACAATCTCCTTGTGACTACATCTAAAGATAGCTATATATTTTTAAAGTTAAGTTTCCTTCTTATCTTACCAACTGTTTCCTTGAATTGGATGCAAGGAAAATTCACAGAGCCCTTGAACCAATGAAAAGGTTGGAATTTAGCAAATCTCCATGCTTCTTACAGCTAAATGTCATTCCCTATAGAAAAGTGGAAGGGAAAGGTGCCCCTTTCTGAGCAACTGGGATCTTCGATTGAGGCTGGAGAGACCTGGTAATTATGGGATGGTGTTAAAGCCAGGTTAGACCATATTTTGACCAAATCGGCCAGGCTGATCATTGCAAGATTAAGGTCTAGACAGAGAGCAGATCTGCTATATAGTCTAGTAACGGAAAAAATACCAATTAATTAATAATAATACCAATTAAAATACTAATTAAGCCGAGTTGCTTTATGAGCCAATCCTGCTACTTCTTGACCTTTGTGCCTGTTGTTCATTGTTTGTTGCTGGCATCGTAAAGAAGGCCCATTGTATCCTAGATGGTGATGAGTATGAATGACTGTACCCCTTACTCATCAGAAAGCAACACACCAAGGATGTAATTCTTAGATACTGAGGCTATTTAAAGTAAAAATGGAATTATTTAGACCCAGAAAATATGCCTCAGTATCATCTAACCTACTTCTTCACGCTCCTGGCTCCAGGCTTAGGCTCTGAAAGCTTAAGCAAGTTATCAATGGCCAGAGCCAGACATTAAAAGTCTGCTCTTGACATCAGTTATTCTTTCAAGAGCCATCTGGACTCCCCCATTACTTTGCTGTCAGGCAGTTTGTTTTTAAGGAGTTCCCTCATATCATCCTCATTTTTATTTTCCCATATGACTAAAAATATGCATCCTAGAGATGGTGTCACCTGAATGTCAGGCTACTATGCTTACTGTGTGAGCTTAAACAAATCCTTTAGTCTTTCTATGCCTCAGTACCTTCATATGAAACAAGAAATAACAAAGGTACATTTTCTTTTACTAATAAATCAATTAATAAATGTAAAGCATAGCAGTACCTTGTACATATCCCAGGTTTGATGATGATACATATTATTGTTTTGATGTCATTGCTAGATATATTCTACATGCAAATAAACATAGTACAATAAGACATTTTGTGTGTGATTGAAATTTAGTTGTTAACATCAAGACAATTATTCTATAATCTTTTATTATTTTATTAATTTGTTTTTATATTGTCTAATTATTTTTATATATAAACTCCCTGCCAATTGCAGATAAAATACTTGTGGAGAGGGAGCATTAAAATATACTAGTAAAATGTAATCAACAAAGAATAAAGACAGATAGCAAGAGAGAAAAATAAGAACAAAAGGATCATAGGCAGAAAAATAAAAAATAAACTAAAATGTATAATTTCCCCTATC